GACATTTGCTCTTCTGGGACCCGGATGCTCTTCCTGGCTTCTTCCCTCACGTGCTTGGGGAACAGACCTCCAAGGTGTTTGCAGGTCAAAACCACACATGGCGACTCGTCTCCAGTTTCAAGTTCATTTGAAATCGGGCAGATACTCCTCCAAGGGGAGAGTCTGCCAGAATCCTTCATTTCGTCCGCCCTGTCTAAGGACAAGCACAGCCTTCCGAGCGGCGGTCCCCGGGTGTGCGCAATCGCTGGGCACCATAAGTTATTTTAATGCAGACATCACTTTAAACTAACCTTTTACCATCTGTTCCGTCCTTTAATAACAAATGCAAAAGAGCATAACTCTCCGTGGCGCTGTAAAGTGGGAAGCGCGGCACAGACGCCTGTCTGTGAGTTTTATTCACGGCCCTGCCGCCCGCGTCGGTGGTGTTTTTCTCATTTGCCAGACACAAATCAAGGGCAAAACTGCTCTCCCCTGATCTGGTGAATTCATTCGCACAGTATTTTTTCTTCACACGGCAAACTGTGGGAGAACTCAGAGCATTTGGGCGGCCGATGCCAAAGCCCCCGGACTCACACCCTGCGCGGCGTCCAGCGCCCGCCGGATTTCAGAAGCTGCTGCCGGAAGGCCCTGGGGAGCGCAGCAAATGTGGCCGATGGTCAAAATGTAATGAGATTTCTTTGCAAAAAAAAAAAAATCTCTTTAAATATGTGTGGTTTTTTTCAGCAGTTTCATAATTAAATTTCCCTATGAAAGATGGTGGCGCGGCCCACAGAACGTAGTCATCGCGCACAGTAAATCAGTGTCGTCCATCTTCGGCTGCTGGGAGCCCACGGCTGGCGCTCCCCTCCTGTCCCCAGCTCGGATGTTCCCTCGGCCCAGGGCACTCACAGAGCCCCCTCTTAGCTGAAGGTCAAAGCTTGCAAACCCACCGCCCCCCAGCCCTTGTGCTCGGGACAGGCCGAGCTGCCGGCTCATCACAGGAGCCCCTCCCTTCCTGGCTCTCGTGCTTGGGTGGTGACCTCGGCCCTTCTCCCAGCACCGAGGAACAAATCAGCAGAGGTGACAGGGAGGGCGGCTTCTCCCTTCTCGTCTGGACGTGGCCCCACAGACCCTATGGCCAGATCTTGATGAAAACTCTCCGTGGGAGGAGGAGAGGGTCTCCTCACCGTGGAGGGTCTCACTGTGGAGTGCCTCCGGGAAGAGCATCTGCCCCTGCGAGGCCTGGTCCGGGAGGACAGCACTGGCCTCCGGCAGTAGCAGCAGGGATGATTAAGACTCGGTTGGAGGCCGGGCGCGGTGAGTCACGCCTGTAATCCTAGCTCTCTGGGAGGCCGAGGAGGGCGGATTGTTTGAGCTCAGGAGTTCGAAACCAGCCTGAGCAAGAGTGAGACCCCGT